AAAGGGCAGCAAATTGGAGATATACATGTGTAATTTTTCTACATTCATTTTTATACCCTTTTAAAATATGTGAGTATTATCTTTACTGCACATTGCAGGTGAAGCAAGTTGTTCTATTGTGCATATGCAAATAACCCCGATGAACACTGAGGTAACAACTAAAGTATACTACAATATGCAAGTGACAGTAAGGAAATGTTAATATTAACAACACCATTACTGATGCTATACGTGTTTATCAGCTGCCAAAAATAATAGCAAAAGACTTCATAGAAACCGGCTTGAACAGCGCAAGTCACCCTTAAGACTTCATGGAATTAATCTGAGAATTACAGATGGATGTGGAATACTCCTACTTAGGAAGAGAATAAAATGCTTTCAACACCTGTGTTAGCTGCCACTTCAGCTGTCGAAGCTCATTCTTTTGAAAAGACATTGGTTGCAAGCACATAAAATGGCTCTCCAAACCGCACACCGTAAATTCTCGAATTAGCGCTGCAGCACTTATTTCAAAGTTAGGAGAAGATGAGGGGGTGCTTATTCGAGGGGGTGCTTAATCAAGGGGAGTGCTTATTCAAGGGAGGGTTGCTAATTCGAGGATTTACAGTATAATTACAGAGTTGGAAACACTTTAGAACTTTGTCCATGTAGGTTTCTTAAAGTTAAGAATGTCGACAAGTGAAATCCACCTCAACTCACTACATGTGTCAGAACTTAACTCTATGCATCAAATCAAGGCCGAGATACAGGGTCAATTTATATAGGTCTCTTTGACCTGATTTTCTTGAGTTACTTGCTTACTGTGATTGAGACACCTTCTATTTCGTGTCTGAGACTTTCAAATATGCCGGAATAGATCACGTATGTTACAATAAACACTTGCTGAACTTTTTGTTCGGAAGGAAACGTTTTGAAAAACAGCTTTGCTGTTGCAAAGGGTTGCGCCGCTGTAAAACTGTTTTTCATGTAGTCAGTTCTCGGAAAGGGAACAGCAAGTTTGTTAACAGAGTCCCTCAGAGCATAAATTGATTCATTTCACGTTACAAATTTAGAAGTGAGATATTCGGGAACCAGACCGTTTAAAGACTTGAAAACCATTAATTCGGGCTTTCTGAATTTGATGTTGAAATTGCAAGTCTTTCCAGCTGAGTTTGTGAAACAAGGAATCGACATCAGCGTCATAGCCGGATGAAGTTATTACTCGTGCAGCACAGTTTTGTTGTTTTTGTACCTTGTTAGATAATGTTTGGCCACAATTACCCCAGACTAGGTTGCAGTAATCAAAGTGAGGTTGAAGTAGTGAGTTGTATATGCGGAGTAGGGTAGATTGAGGCACAAATGGCTTTACTCACTTTAGGGCTCCAATTGCAGTTCTAAGCAATCTTTTTACACAGTTTATTAGTGTGGGAATGCCACATTAGATTTTCACTGATATATACTCCAAGTGATTTCACAGAGGAAACTTGTTCA